CGGCTTGAAAATATTTAGGTTACTGCCCAAGCTCATGCTTTATTTAGTAAGTAGTTTTCTTTGTGTGTGGTGTTAATGGTGCTGGTTCTTTCTGACTCCTCCAGGTGGGGCAGACCTACATCCCCTCCTCCGTGCCGGCCACCTTCGCCCCCTCGCCCACCCCAGCTGTGGTGAGCATTGGACTCAACGACCTCTTTGAGCTCTCCTCTGGCATAGGCATGGCTCCTGGAGGATATGTGGCTCCCAAGTCTGTACGTAAGGACAAGGAACACCCTCAGTATGTTGCTGTGTCTTTAGGCTACAAGAGGTCTGCAGCTGCTCCCTGGTCTCTTTTACTGTTGGTCTCCCATTAGGGATGGCCTGGGCCTTTGCCAAGCAGAGTAAACAGTGTGTTGGAGACCCTGTCAGTTGTTAGTTACAGACTTCTTGGTTTTTAGCAGCTCCTTCATTTTGCCTGTAACATTATTTCTCTAAGGAATGGCTTATATAAGATATTGAGAAGTTCAGTTTTGTCAGAGCAGCTTTCCTGGAAACCTGCTTCTTGGCAAGTTTCCCCAGGAAACTGAACTCAGGATTCAATTTGCTACAACTTTCATAGAAGATGGGTTTATTTGGAGGAATCCAAGGTGACAGTGAAGATAAAACCACATGTTTGGGAGGAGCATTCTGCAGTGTCATAGGGATAAATGCTCTGTTGGTGACAGAGGCCACATATGCTGAAGGGTTCCTGAGATGCACAGCATGGTTCTTGTAACAGGCTGTGGAGTCAGGGTTAGCCTTTCATGCCTGAAAAGGAATAAACAAAAATTAGCACTCATTAAATAGTCAATGAATAAATAAACCAGTCATTCTATGAAATCTGGGATCTCAAGGTACTGCAGAACATGCTCAAAGCTTTTGGACTTTGGCTGCTTACAAGTATTACATTGTATATAAGACCAAGTACAAAAGAACCCAGTAATCTTGAACTAAGTACTTGCATTATGCACCCCTCAAATTTGAGTCTGGGCTTTTTCCACAAAGATGATTTGGGAATCCAGAACCTGAACAGCTAATAGTATCAGCCCTGTGATTTTATTTGGTTCAAACTTTAGTGTTGTCCTGCCTCTAATAGCCCAACACATCCTTGGAGAAGCCTGTCCATCAGCAGACTTGGTAAGTCTCACATTAGTGTGATGGACACAAGCTTTCACTGTTTCTTGTGCACACTAATGTTGTAGAGTATTTTAATTCTTATGTGAGTGCTGTTAACAAATTCAGATTAGGAGCAGCAAGCTTATTTCTTACTGGTGAGCTTGATCCTTTCAGCACCCTGTGTCGTTTCTTCCCTGTAGTGGTTCTCTAGCATTGTGGGCTTAAATGTGCCAATGTAGCTGGATTCCCCAACTCAGGACTTTGATGTTGTTTGGAAAACTGTGCTTGTTTGTGATCTTTAGGCCAGACTGAATTAATGCTGAATGACATCTCTTGTGTTCAAGGTTTGGTTGCCTGCAGTGAAGGCTAAAGGACTGGAGATCTCGGGCACGTTCAGTCACAGGCAGGGGCACATCTACATGGAGATGAACTTTACCAACAAGGCTCTGCAGCACATGACTGACTTTGCCATTCAGTTCAACAAGAACAGGTAAGAAATCAAGGCACTTTGTCCACTATGGCAAAAGGGTTGTGTGCTCCTGTGAAAGGAGCCTGTGTCTACACTGCTAGATGTGGGGAGGACTTTTCTGTTAGATGTGTAAGACAGTCATGGAAACAGCTGGATGATCCAGCCTGAACCCCCCCATCACACCATAGTTGTGTGAAGGGCTGAAAATACAGACTGATGAATCTGTGAGGAAAGAGGCAGCAGACAGCCCTGTTCTTCTAGCTCTGAAACAGCATCTGCCCCATTTAATCTCTGCAGAGTTTTAAAGCAGCTCCATCAGTTGTTAGGCAGGTTAGTGGTTTCATAGTCAGGAAGTGCCCTGAGGAAAGCAAAAGCATAAACAGGCAAGCTTTTGAGCTGCACAAGTATCAATCTGTAATGCCTCTACCTCCTGACTTAATTGCTGTGCTGCCTCTTAGACTATCTGGAAGTGTGGTTCTCATTAATAAAGCTATTTGTCAATGAAGAATTGCAAGGTAAGAGCCTATAGCACATGTTTTGGCTGTAGTTGGCAGCAGAACAATTTTGTCAGACACTTGAATGTTTAGAGCATACAGATTGTTCTCAGAAACCCCTCTCAGCCAGAAGACATGACATGGCAGCACAGCCACAGTCTCCCACAAACACCCCTCTTGGTCAGAGAGCTTTTTGTGTCTTTTGCTTTGTGTTAACTTGAGCAAGAACCAGGCTGGTTCTTATCAAGGATGTAAAGATTATCTTGGGACTGAAATGTTCCCCATATTTCTTAATATCCCTTCTCTGGAAAAGGGTTGTCTGTACTAAAGATCCACTGAAACCATCTCTTCAAATTTCACTGTTAGCTTGCAAATTTGGGATTTCCTGGGATGAACAGTATTTACTTACAAAAGACATTATGCTAAGTAAGTCTTTGTAAATGTTCTCCCTGGACTGCTACATTTTTGGGAGAGTTTTGCTGAGCTGCTCTATGCAAATGTTTCATGCAAATTGGCCTGAAGAAAAAACATTTTTTCATGTGATTTTTTTTTTCCCCCATACATTAAACCATGTTCTAGCCACACCTACATGGTGGTACTTAAGGGTGTAAGGAGTTTACTGCAGTAAACCAGCAGTTTCTCCTTTTGCAGCATGTCAGCCCTGTGTACAATCCACTGCTATTTACTCTTCTCCAAGTACTGTTCTGTCTCTGCTTGTCACTGGCTCATCCATTGCACAGAGCTGCAGTGGGCTGGCTCTTTAGGTTTAAGATTTATGATTGGGAAGTTTCTATTGCTTTTCAACCTCTCCTGCTGCTACTAATCACTTCCACTGCAATCGTGGGATAAAGCATTAAAAAAATAAAAGAAAGGTAGAGCTCCAGTGTGCTGTGATACCACAGCCTCTTAGCAGCAAAATGCAACTTTCTTCCCTTCTGAGTCTAAGGGAAAACCCTAGGGCTTATGTTCCCCAAGGTGAAGTGGCTGTGGAAGGCACATCACATGGCTAGAGCCTTGCTGAGAATATTCTTATTTCAGCTCCCAAGAGCTGAAAACTGTGGAGAGTCAAGAATGGGGCATCTGCTGGTTTCTGAAGAGTGATGTGCCTGGTACGTGTGTGTCTGACTGTGCAGAGACAGAATCAGTGTTTCAGTGCACAAAATAAAAATACACACCTGTATATCTTTGTTCCTGTAAATGCTTTATCACCTCTGAGCTAATGTGAATTGCACTTGAGAAATGCAGTCACAAGCGGACACAAAAGCTGTCTTATGCATCTGAACTTCATCTGCTTTCAAAAAGAAGCTGGTACATTGTACAGAAGCATTATGGTAAATGTTAGCTGCTTCTCCTCTTTTCCTCACTAAGTTGAGGTGCCTGTGGAATTAAATGCCTCTTGGACTGAAGGAGTAAGTAAACATTTGCTTTGCTGTGTTTATACATGTCCCCAGCTGGAGGAACCTTAAAGCAAGCAACAGAGCCAGATGCTGCCGTTCGGGACCAGTCAGCTGGCTGCCTTGATTCACGTCTTCTGCAGTGCTCCTACAAACCATGTCCTTCTCCTTGGCTGTGTATTTGTTCTGTGTTGGCTTCAGTTCCTCCTTCCAAGGCTCCCAATGATGTATCAGCTATGCATTGTGATACACTCCTAGTGCTCTGCAGCTCTAAGGGAGAGCCCACAGGCTTGAGTCTGAGTCCAGGTGCCACTCCCTGCAGGGCAGGCTGCTGCTCAGCAACATACCAGTGCCCTGCAGGTGATGGAACAGCTCCCAGATGCTGGTCCCCTGGGTGGGATTGTTGTCCTGACTGGACTGAGTTTCCTGTGCCTTGTCCTACTTTGTCTGTTGTGGTGCACACTGAGACCTGTGCTCCTCCCATGAAGTAACAGCAGGGGCAGCTCAGGGGTCACTGGAAGATGAGCCAGCTTGTGCTTGGCAAAAGAGGAGCAGATGTTGGGCAATGCAGGGCTCTCATCACCTCTCTTTTCCTCTTGCTCAGCTTTGGGGTCATCCCGAGCACCCCGTTGGCCATTCACACGCCTCTGATGCCAAACCAAAGTATTGATGTCTCCCTGCCCCTCAACACTCTGGGACCAGTCATGAAAATGGAGCCTCTGAACAACCTCCAGGTAAGGACTGCCTCATTTGGAGTTGGGGGGAGATCAGCAAGTACTCAGCCCATTTTATTTGGCTCAACACAATGTGGTAGGACTCTAGTCTTACCATGTGTCTAGGGGAAGTGGGCATCATGGAAATGAGCTATGAGTCTGGCCAGAACTCCCTATTCCTGCCAGTTTGATAAAGGCATGACAGATCCAGAGAGATGTTCCCTGCTGCTTTGGACCTGACAATGTCTCCATCAGTCGTGGTGTGTCTTGGGGGGCATTGGTCTTGAAGTGCTCCTCAAGCAGTTCTGGAAGGCTGCTTTTCCCCACTGCTGCCATGTGCAACCAGTTGTGGGGCAGAGCTCAGTAAGTGACCTCCTGTCTCCCAGGTAAGGACTGCCTCATTTGGAGTTGGGGGGAGATCAGCAAGTACTCAGCCCATTTTATTTGGCTCAACACAATGTGGTAGGACTCTAGTCTTACCATGTGTCTAGGGGAAATGGGCATCATGGAAATGAGCTATGAGTCTGGCCAGAACTCCCTATTCCTGCCAGTTTGATAAAGGCATGACAGATCCAGAGAGATGTTCCCTGCTGCTTTGGACCTGACAATGTCTCCATCAGTCGTGGTGTGTCTTGGGGGCATTGGTCTTGAAGTGCTCCTCAAGCAGTTCTGGAAGGCTGCTTTTCCCCACTGCTGCCATGTGCAACCAGTGTGTGGGGCAGAGCTCAGTAAGTGACTCCTGTCTCTGCTGTGTGTAGCTGGGTCCTCCAGGATGATTTTCCCAGTATCCCAAAGGTGCAGTTAGCTTGCACTGCAGCATATCTCACTCGCCTCAAGTCTCCAGGAGATGGATCTAGGTTGGGTTCCTGTAGCATAGCAGCCCACTGAGGGGAGTATTTTTAAGCAGCTCATTCTCTTTTTAGATTAACTGAATGCAATGGAAGTTCCTATTTATTCCTCCTGAGCAACTGGTTTTTTGCCTTCTTTTGACTTCTATTCTGGGCTTATGACTTAGTGATGAGTCTTTGGGCAAACAGCTTGAAATAGCTTCTGTGGTGCTGAAAGGAGCAGCCCAGCTCGGTCCTGCCCTCAGGGAGTGTGTGGACAGGCATGAGGTCCAGGGGCTGCTCTTCCAGAGAGGGCCCTCCCAGCTTGGGTTCCCTCTGCGTCTGGGACACAAGGATGCTGTTGCATCACTGCTTTTGGGTCAGCTGTGGTAAATACCTCCTGCTCTGGAGGAAATCTGGAAGCCTTTAGGAGGTGAGAGGCCTGGTCTGTCACTGTAACGCTGCAGACTCCCTCAGTGAGACATTCTCAAGTTGCTGCTTCCTTTGATCAGGAAGGAAGTGAAGTATTTGGGTTCTAGATCTCTGAAGGAATCAACACAGCTTGTTTCTTGTAGCATCTTCTGCTAGAACAAAGCAAAGAGAAAACATGCAAGGAAACCTCCAGCTACCTTCTATCGAGACAGCAGAGCATTCATTAGTGCCAGACTTGGTTGCTAATTTGCTAGCTCTCTCATTGCCATAGAAGTTGGCTGCCCTTTTACAATCAGGGAAGCTGCCATATGGAGTAATAGTATATTTCTCTGCAAAGGGTTGAATCATGATAGCAGATGCCAAGTTAAAAAGAGCACTCCCCTTACTTTTGTGACAGCAGTGGGTTTGATGGAGATCTGTCATTGCCCTGACAGCCAAGGCTCTGGTTTTGTTTTGTCACTTCATGTCGAAATTATCTGTCTTGAAACATTCAGAAGTGGGTTTGGTGACCTACTTAGGGAGCAATTTATAGCATAATACAGGAGTAGGAAATACCAATGTTTCTGTGTTCATTGAAGAAGAAAAACACTCATCAAGTTGCATTTGCTTAATGCTTTTTTCTGAGCTGGGGAGCACTGAGGTAGATGCAGGACTGATTTGAACCTGTGGACCTTGTATTCATCTATTCTGGTGTGGGTTTTTTGTTGTTTTAGTAACAAGAAAAATAAGTCCTGCAGTAACCAAACTGGTAGCTTTCAGCTTTTTGTCATGTTGATTAGAAACTTCAAAGACTAGTTGTACGTTCCTTAGGCAACTGTTTCAAAAGTAATGAATTCAGGTCTTGTTCAGGTTATTTTTATTACTGTTTCTGATTTTTCACCCAATACAGCTGGTTTAATTTTAACATTTTGTAGTCATGGAAAAAAACTCAATTACTTGACAATTTTACAAAAAAAGCTGTTTTTACAAGAAGGTGAGGAAGACTTTGCTACTATGGATGTGAGACCTTGATCTCTAAAAGAGGAAAATGGGTTCTGAAGTAGGGATCTGGATTGGTGAGGAGTATAAACTATTTCCAATTCTTCAAGTCAAATTTGGAAGAGTAAATGCTTGTGATGAGAGCATTTCTATGCCTAAGAGAACCACTGCTCCTAATAAATGACCTTTGAAGGGCTGTGGAATGCTGTGAAATCAGAATACCTGAGTTGTTAATTTGAGTACATAAGAATTGCTTCCCTGACCCTGGAAACGTGAGAAGCAGAGCCAGCCTGCTGCAAGAGTTTCAGAGCTCAGGCCTGGCCTGTCATAGCACAAAGACAATAATCTCTTCTGGGAGCTGATAACCACTTGCAGGAGACAGTACAATCAAGACCAACCTGCAGGAGCCCCCGGAGCTGTAGTGAGTCTGCCTGGAGCCATTGCCATTCTTTTGGGATCCACGTTCAGCATTGACAGCCAGTGTGTAACATCCCCCAGTGTTACCTGCTGTCACCTGCCAGAGCTGTTTGTTGCAGCTACAGAGCCTGCAAGTGACAGAGCCAGAGCTGCCCTTCTCCAAAAAGCCCCAAGAATGATCCAGCGAGTATGGAAAGGGAGGGTTCTGCCAGCTGATCTTCCTGGAAACTGACGCTTGGAAATGCTGCTGAGCAGCAGGAGGCGCAGGATGTTCCTGTGTCCCCCAGTGAGGTTGGCAAAACATTTATCTAAGGACAAAGGAAGTGCAGGTTTTTAAGTGTCCTCACTGAGTAAAGATGGGTCTTGGTAGTGCACTTGATGGGACTTGCCTGTCCACGCTGAGCTCTGCTGTAACTCATCCCCCATGCTCCTCCACTCCCCAGTGTCGTGCTTGCAATGCAGAGCTGCTGGATCTCTCATTCATCAAAAGTGTTAATGTATCTCGGGTCACAAATGCAGATCTCTGGGTGCTTGGAAATAGATTTCACACATTAAACTCTCCATAAAAAACAAGGGTGAGCAGCAAGTCCAGCCAGCACATGTTCTCCCTTCAGAGCCTGCTTGATAAACAGCACAACACCTGCCTGTGTGTGAGCTGTGTGAGAGTTACTGGACCAAATATCACAGAGCCTTGAGTAGCTAGATGTGGAAGCTGCTTTCTTGGGTTTGTTGCCTAGGTTGGTTTTTAACAGCCTCTCCTAGTGAGGGTCATTATTCCAGCAGAGAAGAGAGCCCTCCTGGGAGCTCCCTGCCTCAGGGGCTCTGATCACAGCTTGGCACCCATGGCCAGTTCCCAGCTCAGCTGCAGAGAGCTCTTGGCTTGCTGATCAAGGGCAGGTCTGCCACATGGTGCAGCACATTTGATCAAATGTACAGTTTGAGCTTCCAAGCACAGCCGGGCACACGGGAGCGTCTCCTTCCCCGCGGCAGGTTGTTCCCTGCCTGCTGCTCTGCCTGTGCCTGCAGGCAGAGCATCAGCTGCCGAGCACCCCTAGGATCCCTAGAACGCTCCCTGCCACACAAAATGGAGCGAGGTGGCTGGCATTGCCTGGGGACAGGTGACAGCCAGAGCAGCAGACTGTCACAGGATAAACCGCGACCTGGCGCTGGCAGAGGTAAAAAAGACTCTGCAGAGGAGGGGAGATCTCGCCTTAGCAGTTTGGCTGTTACCAGGATCTAAAGCAAAAACCAACTTGAAGCAAATCCTTAATTTAGTGTAGGTGCTAATGGGATTCCAAGTGGGAATGTTGTGTACTTGCTGCTGATGGAAAGCATCTGTGTTGCTTTCAAGACTTGTCTTTAAAAGTCAGTTCTCATGCTCAAGTCTGGGATTTAAAGCATGAGAAACATACCCTACTGAAGAAGATAACCTAGCATGTTCTTAGGAGGTACCTCATCCCCACAGTGCCATGTGTGGCTCTCAGAGGGGTTGCACTGCCACAAAGGACATCAGAAGGGTGCTCATGCTGCAAGGTGAGCAGATATGTTCAGGGCTTATTTCTAGAGGTGCTGCTTCCTCTAGTTGAATCATGAACAAGACATGAGTGATTTGGAACCCTGTGCCTATTTTTAGTGGGCTCACACCTTTCAGCAGTGAAGCATCACTTGAAAATTTGGCACCTTTTGACTTTTATTCCTCAGAAGCTTTGTCATCTGATTGACTAAATTCACCAAGGTAGTAATATTCAACTTTCTTCCTCCTTTCGGAAAGATGGTAGATGGATATCCATTTTTACTTAAAACATTTCTGTTTCATCTCTCAAATGTCTGAAGGTGAAGGTCTTGTTGAAGATGTAATATTTCATGTCCAAGTTGGCAGGTTAGAGCTGCAGAGCCACGGGCAAAGTTAGTTTGGGCGGATTTGTTGAATGTACATGGAGGTGCCTTTCAAGCGTATCAAACCTGGGGACACTTCTCAGCTACTGGTATCACTTCAGATGTCAATGACTGTCTCAGACCAATGTTTCCATCTGCTATAGGTTTAAGGAGACTTTAGCTTTTTCCTTTCCTGGTTGCAAAACTTACTTGTAGCAGCTGATTTCTGCATCATTGCAGGTGGCTGCAAGGTGACACGTGTCATTACTGAGCCCAGTGATGCAGTTTGGGAGCAGGGCTGGCATGGGCTTTGCTTTCCTTTGCTGGGAAAAAGTTGCACTTCAGAGCATCCTAATTGGGTAGCTCTCCAGTGTACAGCCAAAGCAGCTTACTCAGTGTGTTTCTGCAGAGTTGAGAAGCAGGTCAGCAGATACCTTTTTATAGCTCTCTTGTAACTGCAGGGACAGGGTGAGCATATTAATTTGGAGTGTGCCTCTAAAACCATGACTGGAGAGAAGGTGCTGCCTTCCAGCCCCTCTTGGAAGAAACCAGTGCTGTATGGCAACAACAATTAGCTACAAAAGCTAAGTAATCTCTGTTGTTCTAAGGCAAGGCAATTAATAATTAAATCAGAGTTGGAAAGGATCTTAAGTCATGCAGTGTAGTCGCTGCTATGCTTTGTTGTTTTGCTCCAATTCCTCTTATTTGAGTGTTGTCAAGGCTGATTTTAAATAGTCCAAGCACTGGAGCTTCTCTCTTCCTCAGGAGATTTTAGTGTTGCTTAATAATTCTTACCCTTGAGTTTTCCCAGATACTTATCCTGAATTCCCTCTTCTGGCTCATCTCCATGATTTATATCCAAGCACAGAATCTGGAATGGCTACTCTGCTCTCCCCTCCCAGACTCAGAGGTGTATTTTTGGCTACTCACCCAGTCTGTTCAGTCACATTTTGCAGAGGTGAATCACTTCAGTTCCTCCACCAATCTGCTTCTACCCCACTGGCTTTGGTGCCTCTAGCTCAAACACTAGACATTCCATCTCGTGAGTGTGATGCCAGCAATCACAGCACGTAACAGCTCCCTATAACAGAACCATTGCCTTTTTTTTTTTCTAGGTTGCACTGTCATTTACATGGTTTTAGTGAGCTTTAAATTAATCCCTTCTTAAGCTGGTTTGGACTGTGGCAATTAAATGTAAGCTGCTACCTTTACTGATGAAGGTAGAAACCATACAGGCTGCCACATCCACCTTTCTGCTGTTTGTTGCACTTCTGATACCTTCCCAGTTGCATGAGGAGATCTTTTGGGAGCTTGATGTCCTACTGCTTGTCCTCTGGCTTGCTGGCATTGAACTGTGTAGTTTATTCCCCACCCTTGTCTCTCCACAGCTGTTTTTATGAAGATTTGGGGATGTCTTTCTAGCCCTGCCTCTATGGGACAATAGATTTTTCTCAGCAGGACACTAATACATATAATTATAAATGTGAATGGAGTTTGTCTTGGCAGAGATCTTTGTAGCAGTGAATTTATTTCTTTGGCTCAGCATTTAGCGTGGTCTGGGTTGTGTTTCAGCTGGGTGACAAATGGGAGAGCTCCTCCTGGGATTTTCAAAGGAAGCAGGAGCTCAGGCAGCTTCTGCAGTTCAGGGCTGTCCACACAGCCTCAGCTGTAGGTGTCTCCCAGGGCAGGTTTGATCCATAGCAGGTGTCTGCTGAACTGTGCTCTTCAGGCAGGACATCACTATGTGGGATGATGTGAGGAGAGCCTGACCAGCACAGAAAAAAAACCCAGAACTACCTTCTTCTGTGCTGTATTCTGACAGGGAGCTTTCACAAGTCTGTTTGCTACAGCTCTTGGCCTGGGGAAAGTGGCAAATGAGGTTGCTCTCTCTGTTAGCAGAGATTAGTCAGTAGTGTGGCAAATGTGTGATAAAAGGCAATTCAGTTTAATGACACTGGTAATTAAGTCTTTGGTCAAAGCATCTTTTTTTACCTGCCCTGATGGGTCAGTAGCAGGGCTTTCTTCTTCCAGGAATCAACCCCCAGCATGTGTTCACTGTGTATCATTCACAAAGGTAAAGGCTGGAGGCTTGGGAGGTGCTGCAGGCAATGGACCTGCTTCAAGCTTCTAGGAAGTGTTGGGGTAAGATGGGACTGATCAAGGAGCCTGTGTGTTCAGGCATGACTGAGAGCAGGGGGTGAAAATGAAGAATGGAGCCAGGGAATTACTGGACTGAGGAGACAGAGAGGGGTGATGGAGAAGCTGCTGTGCTGTATGACAGATGTGATGATAGGTGTGTGCAGGCAGGAGGTAGGAACGTGCCTTGGAGGTGGAAGAATGAGGGGAGGGAGAGGAGAGCAGGGCACAGCCAGGCTGCAGGAGAGCAGGGCACAGCCAGGCTGCTGGCTGTGAGCCTTGCTGGCCAGTTGCCTCAGCAGCAGTGTGGTGAGGTGCTGAGAGAAGACTGAGCAGCTTTTATTGAAAATGGAGTGAGCACAGAGGGGTGGGACTGATCCTTGTGTTAAACCACCCAGAAGCTCAGGCAGTCTGACATCCAGAGCTGGTCCCTGCTCAGAGGGAGCACTCCAGGGTGCGTGGGTGGGCATTGGGGCTGCACAGAGTCATGGGATCCCTTTGGGCTTCCAGCTGACAGAGACGCTTTAACCCCCATTTTTTCTGTAACAGGTGGCCGTGAAAAACAACATTGATGTCTTTTACTTCAGCTGCCTCATTCCTCTCAATGTGCTTTTCGTAGAGGATGGCAAAATGGGTGAGTGCTTTTAGGTCTGTGGTCAGCCTCCCTCAGCCAGGCCGTGCTCGCAGTGCCCAGCTGGGTGCAGCTCTCCTGTGCTGGGATTCCCATGTGCTTGGCCATGATCTTCATCCTGGCACATCTCAGCAGCCTGAATTGATCTGTAGTGTTCTGGTAACCTGGCCCTGTTGTCCTGCAACTCCCAATAGTTACCAGAACCCAAGTCCTCTGCTCTGATTCTCTCTGCTGGACAAGGGGTAAATCTGTTCTCTTTGAGGCTGATCAGAGGGTTTTCTGTTGATTTTGTTTTGCTTTTGGGTTTGTTGGGTTTTCTTGGAGGGTTTGAAACACTCAAACTGGTCTAGGATTTGCTCCCATACCACTTTTACTGTAGCTCGTGTCTTCCTGGTCACCTTTATTAAATTGCTGTTTGAACTGGCTGGGAAGTAGCTTGAAAAGCAGCTTTCACTATGATTTAATCCTGAATGTGTGGGTCTCCTTCCTTCTTGTCAAAACCTGCTTGTTCTTGGTTTGCAAACAGCTCATAGGCTGAAGACACTCTCTGGTTTGGGAGCTCCAAAGTCCATCCAAGCTTTGCTGCTTTTACAGAGAGACTGAGGCTGTTATAGGAGCAAATCCTGGGTCTGACCACAGAAGGGCAAAACGTGACCAAAAGATCTTTTGTGTCTGTATCATCCTGTGGTGAATTAATGAATGCCCTGTCCTGTGAGGATCCAGGAGTGCTGACTGTCTGTCTTGTTTCTAGAGCGCCAGGTCTTCCTCGCAACATGGAAGGATATTCCAAATGAAAATGAGCTTCAGTTCCAGATTAAAGACTGTCACCTGAATGCTGGTAAGTAGCTTAATTCTACCATGCTGAGAGCACTTCTATCTCTGGTCACTAGACATCTCCCTATTAATAGCATCATCTGTGGCTAATGGATAGAGGGGTATTGCTCTTGTGAATGGAACAGCCATGGATCCTAGGGCTTGGTTCAAAAAATTTTAGCTGGATCCCCATAAAAGCAAATGTAAAATAACAGATTTTAGATTTTGCCTTTTTCTTTCTTCCTTTCATTGTGGACTTTATTGTGAATTGTATTCGTTTCTCCCTTATACTTCATTTCTCTCCAAAGCTGCTCTTTTAAGTAGAGGTGAATGTGGTGTTGGGGCTGTACAGCCACCCTCTCCTGCTGCTGCGTGTTCCAGGCAACTGTACCAGCCCTGGCTTCAACCTTCTTCATAATCCTGGGCCAGTCACTTCACCTTTCAGCATCTGCTTTCTTCTTTTTCTTGTGAAGGAGTAACCCTACCTGCCACTGTAAAATGTTTTGACATCTCTGGAGGACAGTCCATGTGAGGAGAGTTCTGGGCTGCTACTGTCTAGTTGCCTCTGAGCATCCTACTTATACATATGACCTTACTGAAGGATGAGGGAGTGCAGAAAGTGGAATGGGGCCAGTGTAGCAGCTTTGCTCCTGTTCAAGAGGTTCTGGAGAGAAGCCAAGTGGTTCTGCCGAAAGCTGCTGCGTTTCACAGGGGAAAGTGTGTCCCTACTGATTGCAGACCCTGTAACCTTTTTATTCACTCCTGTCTGCCATTGCACAGTGACCACCCTCTTGCTTCAACTGCAGACACAAACCATGGGTCTCTTTGTACTCATAATTAGTACTGTTTTGGAATATAAAAGACGGAGCACACAAGAGGGGGGAAAAATAGCAGCTGTTGGATGTTATGACTTGATTTCACCGTCAGGTTTTAAATGAGAACAGCCTCTGTGCCTCCCCCAGCCCTCCCTCTGCCCCCAGCTGTGCTGGGCACAGCCTCTCCCAGGCCCTGCCCACTGCCCCTCCAGCTCTGCCTGCCCCTAATGTCCCACATCCCCCAGCCCTGCCTGCCCCAACTGCACCATCCAGGGCTCTGCGTCTCAAACCAAAACCACTGGTAACTTCTTGTGGTTGGTGTTGGGTACTGGTGAGCAGAGGGTGTAGTTGAGGTGGGGGTGTGGCTGGGAAGATGCTGCAGGCTAGCCCGTGATTCCTTCTCCCTCCAGAAGAAAATGTTAGAGACTGTGGAGTGACAGGCAGTGCTCCCTGTTCAGGGAAGGTTGGCCAGGTCAAGACCAGGCCGCTTGCCCAGGCCTGCTTGGTGTGGTGGTAGTTGGTGGAGAACACGTTACTAGCTCACAGGGAGAGCAGGGGAATGCTGGGCAGTTTTCCTGCAGTGGCATCCAGAGCTATTGCCAGGTGGGAAGAGACTCCTCTCGGGGCCTGAGCAGAGCCCTGGGCTCAGTGCCTCTCCCAAGCTCAGGGTGTGCAGGACCTGCCAACCTCTTTGGCTTATGCACGGGAGAAAGTGGGTCATGTCTCATGAACAGATTTCAAACACTTCTATCCACAGAAGCTTCTGGTTCTGTATTTCCATTCCTGACACCTCCCTCTTATGGCTCTCCTGGCCCTTTCCTTCCTTGACCACCTGGGCACTGGCACTGAGCAGGCCAGTAGCTTGCAGGAGGGAAAATTGGGAAATCTTGTGCTTGTCTTAGTATTTTAACTACCAATACAACCCTGATTCATTCTGCTGCCCACCTTGGTTTCATCTAAGCAGTAGCTCCTCTAGTACAGAACATCCCAAGAGCATCAAATTTGTCATTACAAGGATCAGCCAGGCCCCAGACCTCATGGAGGGCAGGACTTCCAGCATCCACAGGGATAGAGATGTCTCAGAGTGTGGCAAGTGGCTGGTGGCACACGCCAGAGTGGAGGCAAAATAAGCAGGGTGTGCTCTGATGACAGCTGAATCCATCTCCCTGCTAGATTATACCAGAGCAAGGGTGCATGTCTGGGCACGTGCTGCAGGAGGGTGATAGTCTTTCAAGATTCACAGTCTTGATCATTTAAATCCAGTGAAAACAGTCTTGTTTTAAGGCACCTCTTTTCTCATCCATGCCTGACACAAGCCCACCCATGCAGTGGTGAGTCCCTCTTGGGGCTGAGAGCACTGCACCATCCACACCTCAGTCTGACCCTGCCCACTGATACCAGTTTAGCCGTGAGCTAGAGATGCCTCTGCCCCCCTGCCCTGCCCTGGCAGCACCAGCAGCCACTGCCCAGAGCCAGCAGCTGCAGCAGGTGTGGGACAGATGAAGAGAAGCTGCTGGGCTGGGCTGCTCACAAGGGTGGTCCCTGCTCCCTCCCTGCCTGGCTCTCCTCCTCCACAGAGCCTTTGCTTCCCCCAGCTCAGACCAGTGCCCCTCCTGGCCAGGGACAGGGGGGTTCTGTGCAGCCAGGCAGGAGGCCCTCCTGAGCAGCTCCCTGGGGGGTGCTGGTTTTCATCAATGCAGAAACTTAAAATTGCTTCTCTTTAAACTACAGTGAAACATGCTTGGAACGGGGATTTTTAGAGGACGGGGATTTTATCTGCCAGGAAGGCAGGCTGTGCATTGTACATCCAGGGCATCTGGCTGGCACTGTGCAACAGTCCCCTTGCAGCACCTCCTGTGTAAACTGCAGGCTTTTCCCCGAGTGATTTCTTTGTTCCTTCAAACAAAAAGGAGATAAACACAGTCAGACAGTGAAGAGGCTTCTGTGTGTCTGTGCTCCCAGGCCTTTGTGGGTATAAGATCCATCCTGTGCCCACGAGGTGAGCCAAACAGGATTGACTCAAGCTTTGATGGTTTGCAGCAAGGATGGCAGAAGCAGCTCCTGGCCCTGGCAGCTCAGCCCAGAACAGGGCACAGAGCAGGCAGAAAATGTTGGCTGCTGCAGGCAGCCCAAGGCTCAGCGAGCTGAAGCCTGGGATGAGGTGCCAGGCTGTGGTGAAGAGCAGGGACCCTTGAGTGGCAGAGGTTGCTGCTCTGATCCCTGTCTCCAGCATCTTTGTTTCAAGAACAGCCAAACAAATCTTGGACCCCTGAAGGTATTCCCAGGGTTGCCAGTGACTCAGAGAGATGAGTGCTTCATTCTGGGCCTGGAGCTCAGCAGGGAGAGCTGGCCCTGGCCTGAGGCTGCTCTTTAGGGCCAGAGCTCCATGGCCCTGGAGGAGCCAGTCTCCCTGGGGTTGTACCACGGGGCCACGGTGTCCCTAGGACATGTGACACATCTTGAATTCACCAGAGCCCTTTCATGCATCTGCCCCTGAGGAAGGGGTTATGGAGAAAACCATGGTCAGGAATACAACTTGTAATGAAAACACAAGGTCATGGTTATACCCAATATTCTCATCTCTTACGAATCTAGTCTTAAATTAATTGATTTGGGGTTTTTTTAATTGAAATACAAGAATCTAGTGCATGAAAATAGATTCGTAGGCTGTTACAGCTCAAATAATCTGGGTGCTGCTGGTGCAACTATGCCAGTTGAGGTTTCCCTGCAGCAAAACACACACTAAAGCTCAGTTTGGCTTGTTTACACTGGTTTTTCAACATGTGAAGTTTGATTCTATTTTAAAGGACCACTACATTAAGCTAAGAAATGCAAATCAGATTAGCTAAATGTTCTTTTTTAAAATCCTGCTTACCCAAACCTCCAGAGAGAAGGAAGACATGCTGACTTGCACATGGAGGTTGAATGCCATTAAATAGGAGACAATCAGTTGCTGTGCTGTTCAGGAGTTCTAGGCACTTTGGTTTTTGCTTATTTCTGGGCCACAACTTGATGTGAAACAGCAGCTGTAGCATTTGGGGCTGGATGTGGCTTTATTGGTATGCAGTGGTCAGTTCATGGGGTTTTTTTCCCCTGAGTAATTTGCTAATGCTAGAACAAAGAGAAATTGGATTTTCTAGCTGGAACAATGTAGGACCCATTTGTATGCAAGCTTCCCTGGTAAGGTTGTTTTCTCCTGTATGTGCAAATCTAATAACCTGATCTTTTATGATATTAAAGAACCCGTGCCTATTGCATGTCTTGGAAACAAATGTGCTGTCATAATAGTGACCCAAGTGCCTCCCCACGGGATCCAGGCAGATGCACTTGGTGTTTGGATGCACTTCTTGCCTGGATGATCAGAACCACTCAGGTGTTGCTAGATACAGCAGGAGGATGTTTTCAGCTACCACAGCACAAAATGTAGGGATCTAAATTTAACTTCCTGATAGTGCTCATTGCAAAATGCCATGAAGACCCAAGTTCAAAAAAGGCAGGTTGTTGGTGTAAATTCTGAGCTGTGTGTCCTTTCTGAGAGCTCCTGTTGTGGCCAGTTGGTTGTCTTGGCTGTTTTGAGTTTGGAAATGAAATTCTTAAATTGTGTGGGTAGATTTAAATGTGTCCTTTGCTTTACCCAGAAGGAAAGTGCTGTTGGGAAGAATTGCATTATTTCAGTGAAAGGGAGGAGACCTTGACCAGCTGTTCTTTGCTGTGTGCCTGACTATGCTATTTAGTTGTTAAAAAAGGGGAAACAAAGGAAAACAAGCAAAAAAAAACTCTTAAAGTTGAACTTATGTCAGATGCTCCCCTGGTGTTCGTGGTGGGAAAATTTGCATCCATAGACTGTGCTTCAAGGGGATCTTGAGAATAAATATTGAGCCAAAAGGAAAAGCCCTGTGAAAAGTTGCATGGCAAGGTCAGGTGTAGACAGGGCTGGGAGGGCCTGGTTTGCAGGAGGGCTGGGGGGGCCTGGTTTGCAGTCCCTGGCAGGAGAACTCAGCCCTCCTCCTGCCTGCACCAGGCAGTGCCCGGGGTTCAGTGGGTGCTGTGCTCTGGCTCAGGATGCAGCAGCAGCTCAGGGCTGGGCTCAGCTCTGCTCCCAGCAAATCGCTGCTCTTCCCCTTTTCCCCACAGGCTGCAGTCACAAGGCATTAGCCATCCTACCTTCACCAGGCACTGTTGCTTAGCAACTCTGCCTGATCTCCAAAATCCTGGTGCTCCGGAGCACGGGAGGGATGGGAGCTGCTACCTGGGGGAGAGGGGGCAGCCCCTCCCCAGCCCCCAGATCTGTGCTGAGAGAGGGGGCAGGAGGAGGTGGGTGAGCTGAGCACCCCCACCCCAGCCTGCCCCCCATTGCTCCCAGTGTCTGACTGAGACAGGGAATGGTTTGCAGGGTTTCTTGCATATGTCAGGGGAGTAACTGAGGTCAGACAGGGAGGTGGAAAACAGGCTTTCCTAGGAGCTTGCCCTGCCTCAGTTTCCCTCCCTCTACCCCCCTCCATGAGAATCTGTCCCCAGCAGGGGCAGCAGCTGTTTAAATGGTCAAATCCTCCCATGGGTGAAGGCTGTTGTGTGAGAGCAGCTGCCCTGCAGCCCCACCTTGCCCACTGTATCCCCAGGCAGCAGGAGCCCCCCACTCCTCTGCTGTCACACCATGGGATGGGGTAGCAGCCCCACTGCTGCCACAGTGACAGCTTCCTACCTGCTTCCAGCCCTGCATCCCTGCTCCCTGGGGAATGCCTTTGCTCTGAGAGCATCCCCTGGCAGGAGTAAAGATTGCTGGAGAAAGTCTGTCAAACCCTCACCAGTGGAAGTTCCACTTCCAGCACACATGTCCAGAGGGGCTTCCAACCAGTGAGGTTTCACCTCAGTCTGTTGAAACTGGACAGACATTTAATACCAAGCCATCCTGTGAGTGATGTGCTCTCTGGGCCCGTGTTCGTGTTGAGCACCATCCCTTTGCCAACCCTGGAGGCTGCTCTCACTGCTGGGGGGGCAGGAGGAGATGGGAGCTCAGGCCCCATCCCTGGTGGGTGATGTCCCTGCAGCTGGGGGCTCTCCCAGCCATGCTCCTGTTCCCTTAGTCTGGATGAGTTTGTACAGAGGAGAGTACAGGTTGGAGGAGGAGACAGGGAATGAGGGTTTTTTAGCAAAGGATCTCACTAGTTACTTATATCTGCCAGTTTCCATAGTAACTCGGGAAGAGAAGAAACCTAAATCTGAGTGTGTCTGGTAGCTGGATGCCTGAGCCCTCCTCAACCTGCACACAGCTGCTCTGAAGCCTGGGGAGCAAAGGGCCTTGGTGGACAAAGGGTTCCAACTGCCCATGGAGCTGCTCCATGGGTCTGGTTGTCTCTGCTGCCCTGAGGAGAGGCAGCAGGTCCAAGTCTCTGCAGCAGTGTATGGACTTGGGGCCTTTTCTCTCCTGTTTTTCCCTTCCCTGGTTTCTGAGCAGACTCAACTGTCCCCTCTTTAATCCCTCTGCACCAGCTCAGGCTTGTGTCTGTTCTCAAATCCAGTGTGGGGATGAGTTAGAGCTGCATGGTCACCTCCTGCTCCTGGAAGGGGATCCCATGTTCCCAGGCTCTTGGTTTTCAGTGCAAATTGGTTTAAGGCCACTTCTCCCCTTTGCTTTCTGTCAGAAGTGCCCAGCCTGCTGATGATGGCCCAGCACAGGCAGGCAGAGAGCTTGAAGGAGTTACATTTCTCCAGGAATGGGAATTTATGGTTCTTGTTGGGTGTGGAGTTCTTCTCTCTCAGCCTTCCACCCAAGGTGTGAATGTTCCCCTTTTACTGGTGTCCAAAGGCTGAGGTTTGCCTTGCTTTGTGCTGAGAAACCCCTTGGCATCCAGAGGCTGCTGATTTGGGTCTTTGTGTTCTGTTCTTGTTTCTCTGAAAGGTCCCTTAGAAATGCTGTGCATCATGGTTATATCCATACAGGTGTCCAGGTGAAATCACCCATCTTCTGCCAGTGCTGAGGTTCTACAGGATCTTAAAGCTGCATCACAGTCCTGCCATGGCTGCAGGCAGATGTCTGTGGCTTTTTACACTTTCAAGTGATTGCTTTAAAAAAATATTTTTATTGCCTTGTAAGACGTGGGTTTGGCCAGAAGTGTCTGTGTGTGAGGGGGGAAAGCAGGAGGGAGCTGTGATGGCTGGGACAGGACCTCAGGACCAGGCACCCGAGCAATCTTTGTTCTCCACCTTCATCTTCTGACTGTTGGCTGCCTCCAGGTCAGCCTGTCTGGGGCTTGGTGGGGTTTCCAGACAGAGCAGAGTCCTCTCACCCTCTGAGCTGCAGACTCTCCCCTGGGTAAAGGCAGGAAGGTCCCGAGTGACTCCAAGCAGTGAAGGCCCTGCAAGATGGGCATGTGCGTTGCAAGAGATCACAGCCTGGAAGGGGTGGGTCCATGGAAGCAAGTTGGATTTTTTTTCTTTCTGTGTCATGTTTGTTTCCATTCCCAAGGTAAACTCTGGGACACAATTCGGTGTTTCCCTGGGCACTTGCATCCTGAGAACGCTCCTTTGGGCTCTCCTGTCTCTGCAGATGATGAGTCTGAATTAACAGTTGTCTTTTCTTCCTTCCCTCTGAAGACACTGTCTCCAGCAAACTGCAGAACAATAACGTCTACACCATTGCCAAGAGGAACGTGGAGGGCCAGGACATGCTCTACCAGTCTCTGAAACTCACCAACGGCATCTGGATCTTGGCAGAGCTTCGCATCCAGCCGGGGAACCCCAACTACACGGTGCGGTGTCAGGCTGGGGTCCCCTGAGCTCCCCTTCCTCACAGAGCCATGTCTCTCTGCTTTGCCTAACAAGCTTGTTTGGGGGGTTTGTTTGAGAGTTTA